CATATAAGCCTTACTTCCACAGGAAATCACACTAAAAGTAGTAATATTGCTCCTTATTTGCTTCCACACTAGGGAATTTGCCACTCTTTATGGAATTTGCCACTCTGTGGTCAAATGGCTGCAACTCTGAAAATTTTCAAGGCTTAGGCTTCCATGCTGTGTTGGTTATTAAAAGGTCTCCCTGCATGAAGTCTCAGAGCACATATGCTTTTGCAATGTCGTGTGAACCACATGACCCAAAAAGGATTTCTTATTTTTAAACTGGGTTATGACTCCAGTAATTTTCATATTCCCAGCTGACAAGAACACAGATCTCACAAACAGCAGGGACATTACAGCTTGAGAGCTTCCAGAGGCTGCCATGCCCACACCAGTGGCCACCTTCAGTGACAGATCACTCTTTACAAGTTTCACATGTTTAAGCAGTGCAGGAGCACTGTCTCCTCATTTCAGTAAGGAAAAGGTGCTTTTCTAATGAACGTTTATAATTTCCTTTGACTTCAGACTAGAAAACTGCCAACAGGGCACAACACTGCATTTACTTTAAACAGGCTGCCTCACAAAGGGAATGACTGGTTCATTTTCTCCAGGTTGCTAAGAACTCAGAGCATTTACATCATATTTCACACGTGCAGAGCAACTTGTGTTCCAAAGAACCAAAAAAAACCCCCAGCAACTATGCCCAAAACGCATTGCAGACTTAGAGGCAGCAGAGGCCTAACGGATTGATTTTTGTCACTGAAAAAGAGGGCACCTCTTGGGTGATGCATGGCAACAGTCAACACTAACTAAAACCAACAAGCCTGTTTATGGCAGTGGGGAGAATTCAAAGCCTGGATTTTAGAACAGAAAGATCACTACTTAGCAGTGCTTTCCCCAGAGAGATGTCCTCACAGCTTGAAGATGCTGTGTAGTCAACACCAAAAATATGCTGCACTATATTTAAAGTATGCTTATTCTATATTACAAGAATTTGGTGGTAAAGCTATACCTCAGTAGCATTTAATGGTGAAGGAGAGCTTTAAACAAGTTTTAGTCACAGAAATTAAAAAAAAATTATACCATCAAAATATGGGGACAGGACTGAGCTTCTGCAAATCATACAAAGTTTGTTCATGTAAGCAGCTGAGGAGTATCTGTGAAACTTCAGGGTCATCTCTGTGCAGTTTGCCTAACAAAACGACCAAAGTCACAGATCAATTTGGAATGAAGGCTGAGGAGTGTCAGCCAAGGGTATCTGAGCTTCCCTCTGAGAGTCATGTGCACAGAGGGAAGTGCCAAACTTGGGTATTAGGTTTGCATTGACCATTTGCATGTCTGTAGATTTTCAGTTCTACGCATAGCCTGGGATTGGTGTCATTCTAATAATAATCTTCTGTACAGCATGTAACAGCTCTAAATTCATCTTCCCTTACTGAAAAGCCAGAGCTCAGTCCAAGATGCATTTATGAAGGTCATCATAGGCAAAAAAAAATTAGGTAGGGAAGTGGAAACCTATTACCAGCGCTTCCCTTAGACCCAGACTCATTCATAAGCAGGTGTTTCCCTGCTTAGGTAATAAAAAAAAAGAGAAAGAAAAAAATTTTTAAAATTTATCCCATGCAAGTCTGCAAGGTAAAAGTGCAGTACTTCATTATCTCTTAGATACTGGATTTAACAGGAAACAGGGTATTGTCAGGTAAGGAAGGCAGGCCAAAAATAACAGTCAGAAGGATATAAAGATCAGTAAGCTTTTGTTCAGAAACTGATACAGCATAAGCAAGAGTCAGAAAAGCATTTAATACAAAACATCCCTTTGAATAACCCTCTCCTTCACTAGTCCCCTTCTACAGATAGACAAAAAAAGCTGTATTTCCATACTGAAACATGCATACAGTACCTCTTAATTCTCTAACATGCCAATCAGGAGCAAAGTGAAAAAAGGAAGACAAAGGAATAAAATTAGGGCAAGTACAACACAGAGGGCTCACATATTCAGTAAGACTCGCTCATATTAATTAACATTTCATTTTAGAAGAATATTCAAGTATATTTAGCAAATGCAGCATCATTGTAAAAAAATAAAGAACCAAACCAAGAAACAGTGAACATGACAAAGATAATTCTAGTAGCAGGGGGAAAGAAGCCACGGTTACAGAGCAAATCTGACATCATTAAGTCACCACCAAAACAGAGGAAGAATTGTTCACTGACAGTCAGCTCCTACTCCCACTGATGTCAATGACAGAAGCTGCTGACGTCAGAAGTGTAGGATTCAGATACGTACAATGAGAAAGGATGAAACTAAATTACTACAATTTAGATTAAAAATAACACCTTATCATTTCTCCCATATTCCAGTCTGTGCAAACAATTCAAACATTGTCTAGGTGAGGAGATGAATGGAGCTAACTCTGCCAAAATTGCCCAGCATGTCAGATAAAGCTTGTCATCTGAACTGAGTATCTGGTCTCAGGTTTGTACTCCACACCAGAATTAGAGAAGACAGCCTCGTGTCCTAGTTTCTCAGTTTTTGAAGCTCCTGAGACTGCCTTACAGATCCCTGGTTCCCCATCACCAGCAGGTTCACTGGAAAAGTCCTCTTTGGCAACATACTACCTCCCTCTGTCAGATCAGTGGGACAGGAGGGAAGGAAGAAGAACCTGATGCTGACCTCCACAATGTGCTGGGTTCCTCTTCATGCATGAAACCAATGTGCACTGCTTCAAAACAAAGCCAGGATTTCCCTGCATGTGCTGCAGAGCACACACCAGGCCCGGGGTAACTGAAGGCTTTGGTGCTTCCCTCCTTCTGTCACCTAGAAAGGTGAATCACTGCATGGAGGCTGATCTGAACATGATATCTGAGAAAGCCTGTGATCAGAAGTATCTGTTTCCCTGCGTTCCACAGAACAGTGAAACGCCTTGAAGCTCTGTGTCCATCTCCCTCTCACACCCCCTTCCTTATTCTCCCCCTTTCCAGGTTACTTTCCAGGATACCTTTTCTGGTGCTCTCCTAGACATTCCTCTCTTCTGACCACCACACTACAAACTGAACATGCCGGCCAGCAAGCACAAAGCAGAGCTCACCCCTGCAAAGCTGGGCCATACCCTGCTGCTAACTGTGGAAAAAACAAGTTCTTGGATGACCTTATACGAGTTTCAGTCAGCATTTAGAATCAGCTTGGGTGTAATTTAAAACAAGTCTCTGTGACTTATGTCACTTCCAATACCAAACAAAATATGGGCAGCTAGTTCTTCTAGAACACCTTTGCCTTCTCCCATGCCTTCAGAATAAACCACTGAACAGGAGATGTTTCTCCAAGCTTGGAAAATCGCTCTTCAGTCGTTGCAATTCATCTTCGAGGAAAAAACTCTTTCTGTTGTTGAGCCCTTTTTCCATCCAAGATATTTTTGGCATATTCACTTCCTACATATTTAGGCAATAAATCTAGTTCCCTTCTTATTTCTAGAAGTGCCAATCAGATGCTTTAAGCATCCCTTTGGTGAAAGAGTACAGCCTAGTGGCAGGAAAATGAACGGTGGGGCTGTTCCACTTCTCACCTATCAAGACAAAGCTTGGCACAGAACTTAACATCACACTGAATGTTGAAGTAACTTTTATATTGACAGAAAACATTAAAATGTAAATATCAGAGTAAATGCCTTTCTTTATTCTTTAGGACAACAGTACTGCTGTGAGATTAAGGATATAAAGAAAACGAGGACTTGTAAGGAGTAATTGCTTTTCTTAGACCCATTGACACAGCTGGAAAAAATGGTCAAGTTTTCATGTTCAGAATGTCTTTCTCACCCGAGATGTTTTCTGTGATACCTGACGAAAGGGCCTAGGTTAAAGCTTGACTTCTGGACACACCAGCTACATGAGCTGGTCTAATACAAGACATTACTTCTGCTGAGGTCCTCTGTTACAAGACTGAGAGAGGACAATGAAAGCTTCTCTGTCACTGGATCTGAGCCCTGTCTGAAAAAAAGGAACCTGGGGTGCAGGGAAGGGGAATTCACAGTTTCACTGACCTTTTGTTAGTTTGTGACTTACCAGCCAGGCTACCACTTCATGAAGGGGATGGGGAGCTATACAATGCTGCCACCCCAACTGACTGCTTTTTTTATAAGATCACAAAAGCCTCCCATAAATCTGCAGTCCCACGAACTAGGCTTAAAGAACACAGTCATATGCCCCAGCCAGAGAGCCACTAGATGATGACAGCTATTCACTGTCACTCTACTGATGAGGTTCTAACAAAAAAATCAACATTATCAAGTGAATTATGTCAGTGAGATGGAAGCTGTGAAGTAGTGGTTGTTTTGTGGGTTTTGGTGTTTGTTTTTTTATTTCCTTTTTTTTTTAGACCATTATTACTTAACTTCCAGGAGAAGGGATCAGTAAGATAATAGAAAATTATATAGTAACTTGATCTAATAATTCTTGTGTTGCTGATGCTCCAGGAAAGCAACAGCACCAGCAACTGGGAACTCACTAGTTAACCAGAAGAGTCAGAAATAAGAACAAGGATAGTTCTGAGCCTTCAGACAGTATTTGCTATAGGAGTCTCTTGTGGTTGCCAGTATGTAGGTCGGGCATAAATGTAAGACGCACAGGCTCTGAAAATGACATGGATCTCCTCCATCCTGGCTACCACCAAGGGGACTGAATGCCTGTGTGAGACTGAAGGTTTGCCAGTTCTGAACTGTGAGAACTAGATGGAATTCCTACGAAAAAGAAAATAAAACTAAGGACACAAAGCCCATGACCATAACCCACCTTAAAAGTGTAATAACACACTTGTAACATGAACTGCCAGATGTTAAAAAGAAACAATAAGCAGACAAACAAGAAAAGAAAAAAACAAGCCCAAAACCCAACCAACTTAAAACCAAGCCTCTGTAGACTATTGGTAAGAGAAATAAAGTGTCAGTCATGATCATCTGCCTGGTCTTGTCCCAAGCTCCTGCAACAAGCACCTACAACAAAGTACTAGTGACACGAATGCTCTGTACCTGCATCTTCCTCTTGACAGTCTCAAAGGGGAAAGAAAGTGTCTGTGCCACCCCAGCTGCTACACAGCCATTTATGAAGTTCTGAAGAGGAGTGAAATGAACTATTGGTTCTCGCCAGATTTTGTCCAGATTGATGTAAACAAAGAATGAGCCTGCAGAAAATGGGACAGCACCTAGAAAGCAAAGCAGACAGGTTTAAATCAGCACACTGTATGCTAAGAAAACAGAGCTGCTCATCAGGTAACCTAGAAAGATGGGATGAGTCACTGCCAGTACACACCACACGTTGCTCAAAGCTGATCAATATTTTGAAGAACTTTACTTTTTAGTCACTGATTTCCCACCAAACATCCATATTGTAGCATCTAGATGTGCTGATAGGGGCATACATTTATATACTAAAATGTGCATATTGTCAGAATTATCAACTGCTTTAGTCTTATGACAGGTCAGCTCTTTCTTTGGTTTCCCTTTTTTGTGAGAAGCTCTTTCTCCAGTCCAACCCAAGCCCGGCACTTGTATGAATAAACAGTGTTTCCTCTTCAGTCGAGCTGATGAGGGACAATTCTGTCCTCTCCTGTTTCTTTCGTGCTCTCATCAATTTTGTAGTGGGATTACATATTATTTTGCATTTTTTTTTATAATATATTGTGGAAAAGTGGACTCAAAGTTAAATGGCATTTTTAAAAGATATGGAGAGTAAAGAAATAATTAAAAAGTCATTTTTTGTAGAGAGAGAATATGAATCTTCACTTTTCACATCACTTATACATCACTGCTCATGGTTTCAGTGAACAGCCAGGGAGACACTCTCACATTAAGGCAGTAGCAACACCACATGTATATATTTTTAAATCTATTTTTTTAAGAGTTAAATGGTGAAAGTCTTGCATCCAAGCACAACCAAATCATCAATAAAGGAAAGAAAAGAGTATTTTGTTGAACATTTGACTATACATAAAATCCTATGCACTGGGTCATAATTTGAATCAATAAAGCTGCTGCAGAGGTAATCAGCAGTGCCACGCCCTGTAAATCTACACACCTTCTACAGAAAAGCATTACTATTTACTTTTGAAATCAGGTGAGTAAATGGACATGCCACATAGCTGCAACCAGTAATGTGCAATGGTGATTTTTCCCCATTATCATTATTTTACCTAAAATAGCTGGTGAAACGCCACGGTAGAGCGCACGGAGTCCTTCTTGATGATAGATTTTGTAAAAAGCATGAAGAATCCCTTCATAAGATGGTTCCAGTCGGTTCTGCACAATGAGTCGTGTCTTGATGACATCAGTGGGGTAAGTCACGATGGTTGCAACCATGCCAGCCAGGCTTCCTGCCATTATGGCTCTCCAGTGGGAAATATGGCCCAGCTCATCCGTGAAAAGGATAACAAGTCTAGAGCAAACACAGAAAACAGGTACTATTAATGACAGGAAAAAAACACATGAAAAATTAAGGCAGACTATTCTTGATGTAATTGTTCTGCTCACGAGCCCCTTCAGCTGCAGGAGCTGAAGCTTTAACACGTATTCCATCCAAGACCTTACTATATATAACACTACACAAGCACCAGAAGCTCTGTGAAACAGAACGTGTGAATGCACAAGTGTGAGCAGTCCAGAAATATGCCTAGGGAGCCCAAAGAGATTTTGAGTAAATCCACACTGTTCAGAAACACAGAAGATGTAGTAAACAACCAAGTCGGGCATTGGAATGTATAACTCTGCAAAAACAATTTGCTCTGATTTTAGTGTTGCTGATCTCAAATACTTCCAGTACTCAAAAGAGCTTTTTTGAGGCAGCTTGCATTGCTCTACCTGCATCACAGTTCCCAGTACAGACTAAGCTCACCTAATTTGAGTTGTGGTATCATGATGGAGGTCCAGAGCACCAGTTCAACAATGAAAAAAATCTTTGAAGATACAGAGGCTAATTGTTCAGAGGAGTCACTTTATTGCTTTGCAAGAGGCTTTTAAAGTCATATTTGACCACGGAATCATTTATATTTCCATCTACATTATTCAAAACATGTCTGCAAGAAATTCTCTGATCCCCAGACATCAGTTGGAAACGTTGGTCCAACCCCCCAGTTGAAGTTATCATGTGAGAAGAAATACATAGATAAAATCATCACAGGCAAGAACCTTGCTCTGCTGCTTATGTTAGGACAGAGAGGTCCACAGAGATACTTCTCTAGAGAAAACTTATGTCCAGGCATTATTACACTCAGGAAGTTAAGTCTAAATTTTAAATTTTGAAATTGAAGCACAGAGTTTTACAGGCCAACCTACAACTCATGTATTTGTGATGCACAGAAGGACTTTTCTATGTACGCAGGGCACTCCTACCTCAGGGAGAAGTGTCATGGAGGCAGGAGGAAGCAAGTAAAAAGACTCGAGAGGAGAATCTTGGCTGGAGGTAAAGAAACTTATTCTAATTTGGAAGCATTAACTGAACTGCCTAAACAGCAGATTCACATTTAAACTGCACAGTGTTATCATGTCCAGGACAAAATAATTTTCAAAGATCTACAAGTCACTGCTTGCTCAGTTGATGTTCCTTCACATGAGCATGCATTTTCTACTGCATGGTAGATCCCTGCATCTACTTGCCTCATGCCCTGAAGAGAACCCAAAGCAGAAAGACTGGCCAAGCAGAAGCAAAAAGGCATCAACCTTTTTTTTTTTTCCCTCTGTCTTGTACAATCTCTACAGCAACACAGCTGGATTTTCCTGTGCGTGCACAAATGTGTGGGGAGGATGGTGAGGTGTCTCTAGACACTACCCAGACAGCATTTAAAACTGCCACAGAAAGATGGAGTCAGTGCACAGGAACCACAGACGGAGCAGAGGGAGCTGAACCTCCTGGGGCAGCTGACAGTCCTTCTGCAAGTGCTGTTACTAGTTACTCATACTACCAACCAACATCTCTATTTTTTTTCCCCTTTATATACTATCTTATACTTGCCTTTATATATTTTCTCCCCTAGAAAGCACATTTCTAAAATCCCCAAATAATGTATCAAGAAGTATGTGTAGGCAGCTTTTATTTAATTTCCTGGTAGCCTACTCTCACTTGTAATCCAAAAGAACACCCTGTGCGAACTGGAGGCAAACCACAGCCTTGCGAAGGTAATAATCTTTCAAGCTGAACAAGCACAATGAAGTGAGTCATTTTGCTCTGAATCAACTGATGCAAAACATCGACTCTTCCGGGCGGATTTAATCACCCTGAAATCACTGTTTCTGCCTCCCCACTGCCGTTATCCCTCCCCTTGCTTGACCACAAGCAGAACGACAACAACAAAGCCGCCCAGTTCCAGGGTTGCTCCATCCATCAGGCCCCCAGAGGCGCAGGCAGCGCTGGCAGGACGGCTCCTGCTCAGCCAGCGGGGTGACAACCCTGGCACGCTGCACGTCAGGCCGGGCGAGGGCCAGCGCGGGCCCGATTGGCCACTGCCAGCTGGGCCCACGCTT